CAAGTAGCTGGAACTACAGGTGCGCGCTACCATGCCCGGCTAATTTTTTTGATTTATTGTAGAGATGAGGTCTCACCAAGTTGCCCATGCGGGTCGCGAACCCACAGGCTCAGGCAATTCACTCACCTCGGCCTCCCAAAGCGCTGTGATTACAGGCTGAGCCACAGAGCCCGGTCCGGAGCCACCGAGTCCGGCCTAATTTTTTATTTATTGTAGATATGAGGTCTCGCCAAGTTGCCCAGGCTGGTCTCAAACCCCTGGGCTCAGGCAATCCTCTCACCTCGGCCTCCCAAAGTGGGATTAGGCATGAGCCACCATGCTTGGCCTCTTCCCCACTTTTTAAGGAAAATAAACACTAAACCTTCTGAGAATCTCTTCAGACAAAAATAGCCACAGATGGGTCTGTGACTCATGTGTTTTCCCGGGTGTGCCCTCAAGCTCTGGCTCAATAAACTTCAATTGATTGAGACACCTGCCTCAGTCACTCATTTTCATTAACATAAGAAATACCAGATTGGACCTCTATTGTTTACTATCCAGAGATGAGAAACACAATACCTATAACAGAATGAATTTCTATGTTTTCCTGGGTCTGCCAGGAAGTCACCTCCCTGATTGCTTGCAAAACCTGGATTCAGTCACCAGGAGGGTTTGTAGGCACTCCTCCATAACGTCAACCCCAAGTTCTGTAACAGCAGCTGGTCATTCCCGATTAATGAGCCACACTCCCAGTGTGACAGTCTGGGCAGTGCCTCAGTTGCATAACCAATTTTTCCAATTATATTCTAGTATAAAAGAAAACAGACTTTTACTGGATTTGTGTACTGTGTTCTGAATGTGTCTCTCAAAGTTAATGTGAAGTGGAAGAAGCAAATTGCAAAAGAACACATACTATTATGATTCCATTTATACAAAATGTTCAGAACAGACAAAACCATAGAGATAGAAAATAGAATAGTGGTTACCTATGGTTGGGGGTAATGGGGAAAGGGTACTGGTGGGTGACAGTTAAAGGGTTCAAGAATGTTCTAAAATCAGATAATAGTGATCTTGGCCAGGTGCGGTGGCTCACATCTATAATCCCAGCACTTTGGGAGGCCATGGCAAGAGGATTGCCTGAGCCCATGGGTTCGAGACCAACCTGGGCAACTTGGCGAGACCTCATCTCTACAATAAATCAAAAAATTAGCCAGGCATGGTGGTATGTGCCTGTAGTTCCAGCTACTAGAAGGCTGAGGTAGAAGGATCACCTGAGTCCAACAGGTTGAGGCTGTGGTGGCTGAAAGTGTACCACTGCACTCCAGTCTGGGCGACAGAGTGAGAGTCTAGTTCAAAATAAATAAATATATTAATAAAATAATAAAATAAAATAAAAACAAAATATAGTGATCTCATGTTCTATATTCTGGATACAAGTCTCTTGTCAGATAGCTGATTTGCAAATATTTTTATCCCATCCCATTGATTGTCCTTTCACTTTCTTGATAGTGTCTTTTGAAGCACAAAAGAAATTATGGGTCTGGCATAACTTCTTCCCTCCCTCGCTCCCTCCCTCCCTCCTTTCTTTCTTTTGAGTCAGAGTCTTGCTCTGTCACTCAGGCTGGAGCACAGTGGCATGCTGCTCAGGGGCACCACAGACTCAACCTGCTGGGTTCAGGTGATCCTTCCACCTCAACCTTCCAAGTAGCTGGAACTTCAGGCATGCGCCACCATGCCTGGCTAATTTTTTGATTTATTGTAGAGATGAGGGCTCATCAAGTTGCCCAAGCTTGTCTTGAACCTGTGGACACAGGCAATCCTCTCGCCTCAGACTCCCAAAGTGCTGGGATTACAGGCTTGAGTCACTGGGCCCAGCCCCAAAGATGCTTTAAAGCATTCAACCTCAAACATTCACCACCAACTTCTTTTTTTGAGTTGGAGCCTCACTCTGTCACCCAGACTGGAGTGCAGTGGCATGCTCCCGGCCACTGCAGCCTCGACTTGCTGGGCTCCAGCGATCCCTCCGCCTCATCCTTCCAAGTAGCCGGAACTACAGTGCGCGCTACCACACCCAGCTAATTTTTGATATATTGTAGGGACGAGGTCTCGCCAACTTGCTCAGGTGGGTCTCGAACCTGCAGGCTCAGGTAATCCACTCACCTCAGCCTCCCAAAGTGCTGGGATTACAGATTGAACCATCGAGCCCGGCCCCAAACTTTCTTTAGGCATCTGCCCCCCTCTCCAATCTTGGAGAGGTAGATCCACCCTTTCTCTCTGATCTACTTTCTAAATAAACTTTCTTTTTTTTTGAGTTGGAGTCTCACTCAGTCGCCCAGACTGGAGTGCAGTGCCCGCTCCCGGCCACCGCACCCTCGACCTGCTGGTCTCTGGCGATCCTTCCGCTCAGCCTTCCAAGTAGCTGGAACTACAGGCGTGCACTACCACGCCCAGCTAATTTTTTGATTTATTGTAGAGATGAGGTTTCGCCAAGTTGCCCAGGTGAGTCTCCAACCCGCTGGCTCAGGCAATCCACTCACCTCAGCCTCCCAAAGGCGCGGGATTACAGGCTGAGCCACCGAGCTCGGCTAAACATTCTTTTCTAAACTGATTTCTATGCAATTCTTTGCATACCTTTGGCACTGGCTCAGCCCACAGACCTAACAGGTTTTAATTTTGATAAAATCCAACTTATCTATTTTTTATTTTGTTGCTTGCGCTTTTAGTGTTATATCTAAGAAATCATTGTCTAATCCAAGATTATGAAGATTTGCTTCTACATTTTCTTCCAAGAGTTTTATAGTTTTTACTCTTAAATTTAGGTCTACAATCCATTCTGAGTTAATTTCTAGATATGATATCATGGAGGGGTTCTACTTAATTCTTTTACATGTTGATACCCAGTTGTCTAAAAATTCTTTCAACATTGAATTGCTTTGGTACCTTGTCAAAAATCAAGTAACCATAAATGTAAGGATTTTTATTCTGGACTTTTAAATCCATAGATTGAGAATGAAATGGAATTCTATTGATCTATGGGTCTATCCTATACCAGTACCCACTGTTACCTCGTCTGGATTAGTGTAGCTAATGTCGTAAGTTTTGAAATCAGTGAGTGCTCCAATTTTATTCTTTTAAAAGACTGGTTTGGCTATTCTGGGTCTCCTGGGGTTGTTTTGTTTTGTTTTGTTTTTAGTCAGAGTCTCTGTTGCCCAGTTTGGAGTGCAGTGGCACTCCCACAGCCACCGCAGCCTCGACCTGCTGAGTTCAGATGATCCTTCCCCCTCTGTCTTCCAGGTACCTGAAACTATAGGCATGCACCACCATGCCCGGCTAATTTTTTTGATTTATTTTACAGACAAGTTTTCACCAAGTTTTCCAGGCTGGTCTCAAATCCCTGAGCTCATGCAATCCTCTCGCCTCTGTCTCCCAAAGTGTTGGGATTACAGGCATGAGTCACCATGCTCAGCCAGTCTCTTGTATTTTAATATGAATTTTAGGATCTTCTTATTAATTTGTTAAAAAATACAGCTGGGATTTTAATAGAGGTTTCTTGAATCTGTAGATCAGTTTGGGAGGTACTGCCATATTAATAATATTAATTTTACTGATCCACGGGGTGTGGGGTGTATTTCCATTTACTTAGGACTTTTCAAATTTCTTTTTAAAAAATGTTATGTAGGCCAGGCTCGGTGGCTTAGCCTATAATCCCAGCACTTCCGGAGGCTGAGGTGAGTGGATTGCCTGAGCCTGCGGGTTTGAGACCCGCCCGGGCAACTTGGCAAGACCTCATCTCTATAGTAAATCAAAAATTAGCCAGGCATGGTAGTGTGTACCAATAGTTCCGGCTACTTGGAAGGCTGAAGTGGAAGGATTGCCAGAGCCCAGCAGGTCGAGGCTGTGGTGGCCGGGAGCATGCCACTGTACTCTGCACTCATCTGGGCAAAATAGTGAGACTCCAACTCAAAGAAAAAAAATGTTATGTAGTTTTCAGTGTACAAGTCTTTAACTTCTTTTTTTTTGAAGTCGGAGTCTCACTCTGTTGACCAGGCTGGAGTGCAGTCGCACGCTCACAGCCACTCCAGTGTCGACCTGCTGGGCTCAGCAATCCTTCTGCCTCAGTCTTCCAACTAGCTGGAACTATAGGTGTGTGCCACCATGCCCGGCTTTTTAAAAATTTTTTTTATTGTAGAGACGAGGTCTCACCAAGTTGCCCAGGCTGGTCTTGAACTCTTGGGCTCAAGCAATCCTCTCACCTCTGCCTCCCAAAGTGCTGGGAATACAAGCATGAGCTGCTGTGCCTGGCTTGAACTTCTTTTGATAAATTTATTTCTTTTTTTTTATACTCTTGTGAATAAAATTGTTTTCTCAATTTGATTTTCAGGTTACTTATCACTAGCATATAGAAATACAATTGATTTTTGTACAGAATCTTGAATCTTGCAACCTTGTTGAACTCATTTATTAGCTCTGATAGTCTTGGGGATTCCTAGGAATTTCTTTATACATAGTGTCTTGTCATCTATGAATAGAGATAGTTTTACTTCTTTTCACATTTGGGCACATTTAACTCATTATTTCTGCTTAATTGACCTGGAGAGGACGAATGCTGAATAGAAGAGTGAACAGACATCCTTGCTTTGTTTCTGATCTTAAGGTAAAGACTATCAAAGTCTTTCACCATTAAGTATGATATTAACTATGGGTTTCTCATGGATGCCTCTTATCAGGTTGAGGAAATTCTCTTCTAATCCTAGTTTGTTGACAGTTTTTGTCATGAAACTGTGCTTAGCTTTTGTCAAATTCTTTTTCTGAGTACATTGAGATTTTACTTTTGTCTTTTTTTTTTTTTTGAGTGAGTGATGGTTTTATTGGCAAACTGGCACTACAGAGGTAGTGTATGAAGTCACTTCAAATAACAGATTTCCTTGCTTATCTTACAACTAGTGCTTCAATTACCCACTTAAACTTCAGGGCAGAACATCTATATGCGGAGTTTGAGTTTTAGGCCTGGGGCAGCTGAAAAATGAAAGTTACCACTCCATTCCAGTCCTTGGATGTCAGTATATTCCCCTTCACCTTCCACCCTATTTTCATTGAAATTTCCAGTACACTTTGACCCAGTTGGGAACGTGTAAGTCCCCAATCCATGAAACATATTATCCTTAAATTGTCCTTCATATACTGCTCCTGTAAAATGTTCAGGTCTTCCAAAACCATTCATCTTGTCATCTTTCCAGCTTCCTATGTAGACAATCCCATTAAGAGTGGTGTGGCTACCCATTCCGTTTCTCTCATAGATTCCAGAAGATGTTCTTGGACAGTCACCATCATACTTGTCTCCATTTGGAAATATAACGCTTATCTTATACACTTCTGAAGCTGTTAGACTGTCGCAACTCTGCGAGTCCTCCAGGGCCACCACCTCTGCGGCCTGGAGGGAATGAGGCACAGGTGAAGCGCCCAGTGTGACTCAGTTGCCAGGGTGACCAGGAGCCCCTCACCCGGAAGCAATTACCTTTTGTCCTTTATTTTATTAATATAAATATGGTCTAGTGCGCTGATTGATTTTCCTATCATAAAACAACGTTGCATTCCTGAGAGCAATTCTACTTGTTCAGAATATATATACTCCTTTGTATATCCTGTTGCTTCCAGTTTAGTAGGCTTTTGTTGAGGATAATCACATCTACATTGGTAAGGAATATTGGTTTGTAGTTTTCATGTCTTGTGATGTCTTTGTGTGGTTTTGCTAAGAGGCTAATATGATCTTATAGAATGAGTTGGGACATAGGGCCCTTCTCTTCTATTTCTCAGAAGAGTTCATGAAGGGTTGGGGTTAATTCTTTAAATGTCTGATAGAATTTATTACTAAAGTCATGGAAGCATGGATTTTTATTCTTATGGGAAATTTTAAAATTACTAACTCAGACCCCTGCTGTGGGTTTTGGTTTAACAGAGGCTCTTGGTGCACTGTAGCCTGCAGACACCTGGCACGTGCCCTACCCCCATCAAGATGCCCAAGAGGAAGTTCAGTTAAGCTGAAGGAATAGTGAAGGAAGAGCCCAAGAGAAGATTGGCACAGTTGTTGGCTAAAACTGCTCCTGTAAAAGTGGAAGCAAAGCAGGAAAGAAAGAAGCCAAAACTGATTAATAGCCTATGCCCTGGCTTATCAGTGGTCCCCGTCTCCCTTCTTGTACAAGCCAGGGGAATATTTTTGTCAACTATTTTGTAAATGCAAGTTTTTCAGTAACTATAGAAACATTTTTTTCCCCCAGAATCTCACTCTGTCACCCAGGCTAGAGTGCAGTGGCATGCTCACGGTCACTGCAGACTCGACCTGCTGGGCTCAGGTGACCCTTCCACCTCAGTCTTCCAAGTAGCTGGAACCACAGGTGCATGTTAACACGCCTGGCTAATTTTTTTTATTTATTGGAGAGATGAGGTCTTGCCAAGTTGCCCAGGCTGGTCTCAAAACCCTGGACACAGGTAATCCTCTCACTTCTGCCTCCCAAATTGCTGGAAGTACAGGTATGAGCCACTGTGCTCAGCCAGCTCTAGACACTTTCTAAAATTTTTTTGGAGTCCAAGTCTCACTCTTTCGCCCAGGCTGGAGTGCAGTGACACAATCACGGCCACCACAGCCTTGACCTGCTGGGCTCAGACTATCCTTCCACCTCAGCCTTCCAAGTAACTGGAACTACAGGCATGAGCCACTATGCCCAGCCGAATTTTTGATTTACTATAAGAGACGAGGTCTCACCATGTTGGTCAGGTTGGTCTCGAATCTCTGAACTCAGGCAATCCTCTCGCCTCTACCTCCCAAAGTCCTGGGATTACAGGCATGAGCCACCACACCTGGCTAGAAACATTTTTAAGAAAGAAGGAATCCCACCTCATCCTATTTTTTTTAAACACAAATTGCTTTTTTTTTAAAGAAGTGAAATCACTTGCTGGTTGTTTATGTTTTGGTACAACCAGAAAACAGTGTGGGATATTGAATTACAGGAGGCTTTGACTGTCTTGGGTGTCAGTTTAACATTCTATAGAAGGGTTTTTTTTTTGTTTTTTGTTTTTTTTTTGAGTTGGAGTCTCACTCTGTCGCCCAGACTGGAATGCAGTGGCCGCTCCCGGCCACCGCAGCCTCAACCTGCTGGGCTCCTGCGATCCTTCTGTCTCAGCCTTCCAAGTAGCTGGAATTACAGGCATGCGCTACCACGCCCAGCTGATTTTTTTGATTTATTGTAGAGATAGATCCTTCTGTCTCAGCCTTCCAAGTAGCTGGAATTACAGGCATGCGCTACCACGCCCAGCTGATTTTTTTGATTTATTGTAGAGATAGATCCTTCTGTCTCAGCCTTCCAAGTAGCTGGAATTACAGGCATGCGCTACCACGCCCAGCTGATTTTTTTGATTTATTGTAGAGATAGGTCTCGCCAAGTTGCCCAGGTGGGTCTCGAACCCATGGGCTCAGGCAATCCATTCACCTCAGCCTCCCAAAGGCGCGGGATTACAGGTTGAGCCACCAAGCCCGGCGGGGGTTTGTTTTTATATCCCATAATACAAAGCATACTAAATGGCAATATGGAGTCACAGTCCTGCATTTACTATCTTGAACAGTTTATTTGTGGGGGAGGGGCGGATCAGAGTCTCACTCTGTCACCCAGGCTGGAGTGCAGTGACACGCTCATGGCCACTGCAGCCTTGATCTGCTGGGCTCAGGCAATCCTTTTGCCTCAGTCTTCCAACTAGCTGGAACCACAGGTGTGCATTACCACGCCCGGCTAATTTTTTGATTTACTGTAGAGACGAGGTCTTGCCAGGTTGCCCAGGCTGGTCTCGCACCTCTGAGTTCAGGCAATCCTTTCACCTTTGCCTTTCAAAGTGCTGAGATTACAGGAGTGAGCCACCATGCCTGGTTCAACATATTATTATTTTTTTTTTCAGTCAGAGTCTCGCTCTGTTACCCAGGCTGGAGTGCTGTGGCACAATCATTGTTCACTGAAGCCTCAAATTCCTGGGCTCAGACGATCCTCCCACCTCAGCCTCCTGAGTAGCTGGAATTACAGGGACATGCTGCCATACCTGGTTAATTTTTTAATTTTTTTGTAGAGCCAATATCTTTCTGTTGCCTAGGCTGATCTTAAGCTCCTGGATTTAAGCAATCCTCTCTCTTTGGCCTCCCAAAGTGCTGGGATTATAGACATGAGCCACAGTGCCTGGCCAAAAAAAAAAAAAAAATTTTTTTTTTTTTTTGAGTTGGAGTGCCTCACTCTGTCGCCCAGACTGGAGTGCAGCGCAGCCTTGACCTGCTGGGCTCTGGCAATCCTTCTGCCTCAGCCTTCCGAGTAGCTGGAATTACAGGCATGCGCTACCACGCCCGGCTGATTTTTGATTTATTGTTGAGATGAGGTCTCGCCAAGTTGCCCAGGCAGGTCTCGAACCCGCAAGCTCAGGCAATCCACTCACCTCAGCCTCCCAAGGCGCGGGATTACAGGCTGAGCCACCGAGCCCGGGTAAAAATTTTTTTAAAGAAAGAAAATAATTATTTATTTTATAAGAATATTTATTATAAAAATATTGTCATTTAGTTATCTATAAATACAAAACCTACAAAATATCTTATAGACAATGGCAGGTACCAATCTCATGAATCAAATACCTTGGTGTGTTCTAAATTATGCAGTTTTCCATCTTTGCTGAATGTGCTTTGCTTATTTGCAGTCTTAAATTTTTTTTTTTTTTTTTTTTTTTGTTAGAGTCTCACTCTGTTGCCCAGGCTGGAATGCAGTGGCACGCTCCCGGTCACCGCAGCCTCGACCTGCTGGGCTCCGGCGATCCTTCCACCTCAGCCTTCCAAGTAGCCAGAACTACAGGTGTGCACTACGACACCCGGCTAATTTTTTATTTATTGTAGAGACGAGGTCTAATCAAGTTGCCCGGGCAGGTCTCAAACCCACAGGCTCAGGCAATCCACTCACCTTGGTCTCCCAAAGTGCTGAACCACCAAGTCCGGCCTACACTTTCTTTACATCCAGTTCCCATACCCCAAGTACCCCTAGTTTCCTTGAACTTTCCAGTTATGTGGACCCACACATTTCTTGCTTATTTAAGCAAATATGAGTTGGTTTCCTTTTTTTTTCTTTTTTTTTTTTTGAGTTGGAGTCTCACTCTGTGACTCAGACTGGAGTGCAGTGGCCGCTTCTGGCCACCGCAGCCTCGACCTGCTGGGCTCCGGCGATCCTTCTGCCTCAGCCTTCCAAGTAGCCAGGATTAGAGACAACACTACCACGCCTGGCTGATTTTTTTATTTATTGTAGAGATGAAGTCTCACCAAGTTGCCCAGGCGGGTCTCGAACCCGCGGGCTCAGGCAATCCACTCACCTCAGCCTCCCAAATCGTGGGATTATAGGCTGAGCCACAGAGTCCGGTATGAGTTGGTTTCTATCTGTCACAGTTGAGGGAGTGTAAAACCCAATCCCTCCATCCCCTCCTTAAACATGTGGGATGGGGTACCTGCATAATGAACATTTGTATACCTAACCCTGAATTGTACCCCACATCTTTAAAATGAAAAATGAAAAAAAAAAAAAGCATCTGGGATGGCTCAGATCCTGGACACCTAGCACTGGTCCATCCTTTCTTGTCAAGGGGAGAGTTAATCATTCTCTTGGCAACTCCTGGTTACATTCCCCAAGTCCCCTCCCTCTCCTGGGCCCCCACCTCAAGTTCTTTGGCAGGGTAACTCCCTGACTTCCAGGTTCCCTGGGCATCTGGCACTCTTGGAAGAACCAGACCAGGTGGGGCAACAGGTAGGCCTTCCTCAGCTGGACCACCCAGATAAGACCCCCAGAGTGGGCTCTCCAGGAAAGTCCAGAGTATACCTGACAGCTTGGCCTTCACCTGGTTGGAGGATCCACCATGCTGAATGTGGTGATCTGGCTGGGGTCATTCTTCCAAGCAGGTGGCTACCTGACTAAGGTGGTGCCATGGGGCCTGGTTCTCAGGGATCTCAGTAGGAAGAACATCACAGTTCCCTATTTTTCTGAATAAAGACCCACTGTCCTCCCCACCCTGCCCACCACGCTAGCAGTCAGGCAAACTCAGCCATCAGTGAACTCGCCCAGCATGTGCTAGCATCTCAGTTTCTGGCCTGGTGAGGTAGGGGATGTTCTGGTCTTCAGTTCTTGGAAGTTGCCATCAGGGTTGGTGCTAAAGCAAACCAGGGGACTTGCATGTGGATGAGGGCTGAAAGTTGGAAATTCAGGAAACAGGAGGAATCAGGGCCTGGGGATGCAGACCGAGAACAAGAAGATGGAGACTAACACTGTGAAATTGGAAATGAGGGCCTAGGGGTCTAGGGGGCTGTCTGGGACTGAGAAAACTTGTTAACTTTGGAAACTGGACTGGGCAGATTGGAAAGACAGATCCTGAGGACCCAAGCCCAAGGTGGGCTTGTTCAGGCCAAGCTGGATCCAAGTGGCCTCAGGATATTATCAGGCCTCTTGCCACCTCTCAGCTCTGCTTTCCTCTGGGGTGCCTTCATGCTCAGGTGGATTCCCTGAATGCTTAGAGTAGCCTTTATAGGTTTTTTGCAGGATTTATTGAGGATGGAAAAGCTCCCACAGTGGGAGGGGACCTGAAGGGGTTGTCCTATAGGTCTTAAGGAGACTCATATCCCTAAAATGGACCTAGTGATGTATGTACTCTGATTGATTCCATAGGGGTCACTGCCGTCAGTTCACTCACTATGGGCAGAAGGCTGTTCATACACCCAGCCACAGAGCAGCCGGCATAGGTCTGGGGGTGCTGCAATTCATACCCCACCAGAACGCTAGTGGCCTTGAGTCCCCTGGAAGCTGCAGTGAGGAAAATTAGGACAGTTCTTAGAGTGAATGAAGTCCAGTAGTCTCGTAGGGGTTGGCAGTAAGCGTTACCAAGATGGGGCAGGCATGGCCAGGGGACCTGATTCTGGAATTGCCAACGACTTGTACCCATTCCCTACCCAGGGACCGGGCCACTCTCCACACCCCATTTTCTGGCACCACAAAACAGGGAGGGCAGTGGAATTGAGGGATCTCCTTAAGGGAGATCTCCTTGCATCAGGCAGTAGATTCTCAGAGTTGATCCAAATCAAAGGGCCTGTTTTTTCACCTAGGTGTCACCTGCAGCCATCTAGGGACTCCACTAGGCTGAGAATTGTTACCATTAATTGTTCAATTAAAGCACGGTGAGCCTTGTCCCAGCACCCATAGGATCATCTCAGATGAGATGACCACACATCTGAGAAAGGTGGTTGCATGTGGTGGGTTATGAATTGCAGTACTTCCTGGCTGGCCCTTCTAGTTTCGGGAAACTAAGGGGACTTTTCCTTGTTGGGAATAGCAAACAGTGAACCTTGGGCTCAGACTTTGCTTCAACTCAGGTGACTGCCCTCTGTGGACAGCCAGGGGCCTTAGATCCTATCTCAGCAGCTGCCTTCCCTATAGTCCCCTCCAAACTCCCCAACCCCAGATCTGAGACCCCATTGGGCAGGACTGTGGACCTGGGAGCCCCTGGCCATCCGCTGTGCAGCTGGAGGCAGTGGATGGCCTGACCCAGGCAGGCCCCTCATTGTGGGCTATCCTGCCTTCCAAGGGACTGGCTTCAGCACTGGGCAACATGAAGAATTGGCCCTGCAGCATCTTCCTCCCTTTGTTATTTTGACCTCTGCCTGTTTCCTACAGGGCACTGACAGGAAGCTTCTGGAGACTTCAAAGGGCAGTGGTTTCCTTAGATTGCTCACCCCCAGTCCCGGTCCCAGGACTCAAGGCCACCAGCTCCTTTCTCTTCAGGAGACCATGCATGTCCTGCAGGGTCAGATAGAGTCCTCTGTGGCTCTCGGAATTGGTACATTTTGCACAAACACACACGTGGCACAGAGCAGAGGTTCCATGAATGTGTTTGGTCATTGCCTGATGAGAGGGAAGATAGGAAGAAGCTGGGAGGTGGCTCCACCAGCCTCCAGTCCAGGGTGGACAGGAGCGGGTAGGCTCCAATGATCAGTGTTGACAGGGTGTGGGGGCAGAGTGGTGAAGGTGAGTAGGGTGTACATGAGACCAGGAGCCCTACAGAAAGGACTGGCCCAGCCCTGCTGCCAACTCTGCCTATCTTGTCCTGTGCTAGTCCTCTTCTCTGAATCTCTCTCTATTCACCAGGTGACTTCTGAAGTTCACACTCAATCTGCTAGCCCCCACTGCACAAAGGGAAGCAGCTTCATCAAGCTACCTCTGTCCCAGCCCTCCTGGTTGTCAGCACCCTGGGAGGCTATGGCCCGGCAGTGGCCTCTTCCCTCAGAGCTGGTCTGTGTCTGAGCCACCTGGGAGCTGGCCCCACTCCTGCTTAATGGAGCTGTGGGGTCAAGGCCTGGGAGGCCTTCCAGGCCACGGAATTCCCCTCTGCTCAGATGGTCATGCCAAGAAGGGAAGGGAGGCTGAAAGAGGAGGAAGACTAGGTCCTTCAAAGGCCCACTTGCAGGCCAAGTCAAGGACAGAAGGTTTCTGAAGTTTGGAAAGGGCATCCAGGGACTGGAACCATCACAGGCTGAGCTCCAGCAGCAGGAGCAGGAACCATCACCCCAAGTGCCTGCTCCCACTCCTCATGGCTGCAGGGGCTCCTCTGCAGAAGTGTGGCTCCTTGCCTGTGAGAACAGGGCTTTGATGCCTGGCCAGTCACACTGCATCACAGCTCAGCACCCTGCCTCTCCTCCTTACTTGCCTACAAAGTGAAGAGAATGCCACAGAAGCCAAGACCCCTGCCCTGGCATAGCCTCCCCCAAACATCCTCTTCTGAATTTGCCACCCTCCCGCCTGGATCAGGTGTCTCTTCCAAGTTTCTTTTCATGCGGCTTCAGTCCTTGGCTTGGGAGTCCAAGAACTGCCCACCATGGTCAGTGCTGAGTCTCTACTTCTTGCAGATGTCAACAAGCATGGGGCCCAGGGACCATCTACCAGCAGCCCAGAGAGAAGACAGCTATAGCCAAGTCAGCCTGAAGAAAGGGTCTGGGATCTTTGGGGATTTGATTGCAGGAAGAACTAGAACCTAGAGAGGTTGGTGGCTCAGGAGAGGGGGGCAATGCTCTCAGGCTGAAGGGTCCTAAGATGGGCTAGAACCTTAAATTCCATCTCTTCTGAGTCCCCTCACCTAGCCTCTCTTGTGTCTGGACCTTGAACCAGACCCCTGGTGTAAATTCCCAGGCAGGATACTCCTAGAAGACCTGCAGGTAAGCAGTCACTCCCAGGTCACAAAGACAGACAGGAAACTCAGCATGTCACAGCTCTATTCTGCCTGACCCTCATGACCTTCAGAAATGCTTGTGGAGCAGTGGCCCTGCTGGGAAAAGGCCCTGCTGCTCATTGGGCAAATGCCTGTCTCTGATGACTGTGGCTCATTGCTGTGTGGGCCCTGGGGGCTCAGGGAAGTTGCAAGTAGCAATGGTGGGGACATGACCCCAGAGGACATGACCCCAGTATCTGTGAGACCAGCCTGGAGTGGCTGAACTCCCGCCCAGGAGAGCCATGCCAGGACTCAGGGAAGAGGCAGCCCCTGCTGAACAGGCCAGGCCATGGCTCCAGCTCAGGGAGATGTCTGCACAGACAGGTGCTCAAAAGATTAACAACGCAGACTCATTGAAAAGAAACATTTCATTGTACAAATCCCACATAGGTCCCAGGCCCAGGGCCTTAACCCAAAGCCCCAACTTGTTTCTAGCTCCAGACCTGCTCTTTGCATCCCACTTGCACTATCAAGAGCCAGGGTCTCCTGTGGAGTGTGCAGGTGTCCCTGAGCGTGCTCATATGGGAACATCCCTGGGCTGTAGGCACTCAGGCACAGTGGTAACCTTGAAGTGAAGACAGGGGGAGTGGAGTGAGGTTCCCACTTGTCCAGTCTCAGGGACCACAGAGGTCCACACAGTCCTTTCCGCTGTGGAACACGTAGTAGATGCTGGTGGGAGGGAACATAGCAACAGCACCGAGTAGGGAGCCCACTTGGATGGCCACGCCAGCTGCTAGCAGTGCCAGCTGGCCCCCGCCATGCAGCAAGGAGCTGACTGCCACCTTCACATATGAGAACACGCCCAGACACAGCACCCATGACAGCACCTGAGAGAGGATGCAGCAACAGCTAAGCATGAGATACCCCTACTCTAGGGCAAATCCCCCTTCCCACCTCATGTACCTCCCGTACTCACCACAAGGACCACTCCTGCAGAGGTGCCCACCAGGGGCGGGCAGGGGCTCAGGATTGCCAGTGCCATCAGGTAGGCCCCAAAGAGCATGCCCAGCAGAGAGAGAGCACCCAGCCCTGCCAGAGAACTGTAGGGGATAAGAAACTCAGGGCTGACTGTGCTAGGACACAACTCCCACCTTTAAGTCACCCCCACCAAGGGACTTGGGGGCCCTTGTGTACCTGCACAGCATGCCCATGGCCAGGAAGCAGGCAAGGGGGTTGGCAGCACTGCCCAGCACCACAGACAGGTGGTAGGCCAGGCGTCCATAGGGCAAGCAGGAAAAGCTCTGCACAGAAGGCAGTACCCCATTGGTCAATGCGTTGGTGGTGGCCAGCAGCCCCAATAGGCAGGCACTGCGGGCTGAGAGCAGCTGAAAGGCTTTAGGGTCTGGGTCAGGGGTGGAGCCTGCTGGCCGGTTTGGTGGCTCCTGCAGTGGCGAGGCCTCTTCTTCCTCCTCTTCCTCCTCTGTTCCTGGGGCTCCCACCTGCAGGCCAGGCCCTGAGCCCCCTGTGGGTACAGATGATAGTGATGGCAACAGCAACAGGAGACCTTGGAAGGCAGCAGCTGAGATGACCAGAAGGGCGGTCAGTGCCCAGAAGAAGGTGCTGGCGGGAAAACGCTCAGGAAAGTCGAGGGGGGGCCCAGGGGTGCCGTTGGTGGGGGCTGGTGGGCACTCCAGGCGGCCCACACCCTGCGCTAGGGCCAGCACACAGGGCAGCAGGGCGCTGAGGCCCTGACCCAAGAAGAAAGACCGCAAGAAGGGAGGTGGCAGGTGGCTCAGAAAGGGCAAGAAAGTGACATTAGAGGCGCAGCAGGCCAGTGCCAGCATGAAGGAAAGCACTAGGAAGGCCATAGAATGAAGTTGCCCTGCCACTGGGGCCACATGGCGCCACAGAGGGGCCAGCAGGGCTGTGCCCACCACAGTTAGTGCCTGTACCACCTGGATGGGGACCCGCTCGCCCTTGCCCGGGGCCAGCCGCCGCCACATGGTCACCACCAGTAAACCCAGGTTCCCCAGTGCCACAAGCACAGACAAGTAAGAGGGGAGGCTCCAACCTGCAGGGGAGAGAGAAGGTCATGTCAGGGGCACGATAGCTGAGGGACAAAGAACAGCTGCAGCCCACCTTCCCGGGCACATTTGCCCTGCTCTTCCCTACACTTCCCTCCCACTCACCCTCTGGAAGGTCTTTTACCACCACAGGCAGCTCCACCCAGATGCCGTTGATGGCAGTCCATGAGCCCATGCCAAAGAGAGCCACCAGCAGGTGGGTCAGCACCAAGCGGCCCAGTGTGGGTGCTGCCATTCAGCCCAAAGCTGGGCTCTGCAGGACAGGGCCCAGGTCACAGCCAGGTCTTTCCCCACCTAGGTCCTGAGATGCTCTGCTCTCCTGGGAACTGAAGACCTCCTGCAGCTTGAGAGAAACAGACAGGCATGAGGGACACAGAACAGGAGTAAGAATAGGGTCAGACTACCAAAACCAAGGGAACTGGAAGGAATCCCTGGCGAGAGAAAGATGGAGAGGCTAAAACGTACCAAGTAGCTCCGGCCCGCCAGCGTCGGGACCACGACACAGCAACGCAGACAAGTAGAGAACCTAGAAGCTGGCCAAGGCTCCGCGACCTCAGGGGAGGATGACGAAACGCGTTGATCTTCCTACTCACGAGGAACCAGGAGTTTCTAAAACCACCACCACCACCCTCACCCCCAAATGGACCCCAGGACAGGGGCACTTCTAGGGCTTCTGCGGTTTCCAAGACTGTAAGAGACAAGTCGCATTTGAGGTGGGGAGGGGTCGGAGAGGGCTGTGCCCCGAGGGATGCCGTCCTCTCGTCGGGGTCGGGTGGGCGGCCGGGGAGCCGGGGTCCCTGCGCCTCCAAGTCCAGCACCCCACTCTCTCCGACCTACCGGCTGGCCTTTCCGCCACGCGACAGCGCTGGACTCTGGCCAGGGACGCCGTTCAGCCCAGAGCCCGCAAGGTTAGGATCTGGCCCAGCCAGGGAGGGGACTGATTACAACTCACCTGCTGGAAACTCCGGGACATCGCCGCCGGGCCCGCCCCCAGCATGGCCCACGGCCGGAAGTCCCGCCCCGAAGTAGAGTGTCGGCGGGCGGATCGTCCAACTGAATCTGAAGGGAGGGGAATGGGTGTGCTCTGCCCCACCTTTTCCGCCCTCGGCCCCGCCCCTTCCGTTCCACCAGGGTTGGCCCTGGAGCGCGGTCGATGGCTATGGCTTCCCCTGCTCCCCGCCGGGCCCGGCGCAGAGCTCGAGCCGCGCCGCTGGCCGGGGCGTGGGCCCGCTCGGCCGAGGACTGGTGGTGGGATCGGCTAGCGCCGAGTGGCTCCGGGTATCACCTGCTGCAGTCGGACAGCATGCTACTTGTGCTGCCAGGCCCAGGGCCCGCCCGCCCCCGCGCGCAAAGGCGAGCTGCTCGTCGCCCTCAGCGGCAGCTGCCCCCGGGTCACCGTGCCCCGGCTGCCAAGCCCAAAGCCAGGTTCAGGCCTGAGCTGGCACCCGCGCCCGCTCCCGAGCAAGGGCCCGATGCAGGCTGGGGGGACCGCATTCCTTTGGAAATCCTGGTGAAGATTTTTGGACTGCTGGTGGCGGCCGATGGGCCTATGCCTTTCCTCAGCAGGTAACACTACACCCATGGCTCCGGGCCTGTAGAGTGCAGCAACTTGAACCTTCGGTGTCCGAGCGGGTGGCCGGCAAAGGGCGAAAGCGTCTGAGCGAGCATACGTGGGTGCTCGGGCATCCCAGAGTGCAGTCTCTTAGGGGCCCCAGCAGCCCGGCTTTGAGCTGGAGTGTCCACTTCGCTGCGAGTTGCGGGGGCAGGTACCCTCGCCTTGTTGGGACAGCCGATAGGGGGCATCGCCCACGAAAGGGCCGGCACCTTCAGCAGAGCTGTCCTCCCAGGGCTGCGCGAGTGTGCCGCCGCTGGCAGGAGGCCGCCTCCCAACCGGCACTCTGGCACACCGTGACCCTGTCGCCCCCGTTGACTGGCCGCCCTGCCAAGGGCGAGGTCAAGGCGGAGAAGAAACTCCTTGCTTCCCTGGAGTGGCTTATGCCTAATCGGTGAGGAGTTCCCTCTTTCTAATCCCCTCTGTCCACCTAAGTGGTGTGTGGAAAGCCCTAGGCCCTTCTGTCTCCCTGCATCAAAGTGTTGGGGGCTCCGAGGGATCTGGCAAGAGAGTTAGTGCAGCTCTGCCTCTGCTGTCTGCCCAGGTTCTCACAGCTCCAGAGGCTGACCCTCATCCACTGGAAGTCTCAGGTACACCCTGTATTGAAGGTGAGAGCTACAGGCTGCCCTGCACACCAGCTGTGACCCTCTGGGGTTGTCTAGTACTCTAGGAAGTAGATCAAGCACTTTGGGGGTCCAACACTGCCCCATAGGGATGCCTGCCTCCTATCGGGTTCTCTTTTCCTGTTGTTGTCTCCTTTCTCAGAGGTGGGGGCACCCAAGTAGGCCTGGCATGGGCAGAGAGGAGATCAAAGCAGTAGAGTGGGGTTGGCACTGACTACTGGTGGACCTTAGCCTGCCATCCCCTGACCTCAGTTGGCCTTCTGTCTTCCTGAAGCTGGTAGGTGAGTCCTGTCCTCGGCTCACCTTCCTCAAGCTTTCAGACTGCCATGGTGTGACGGCTGACACCCTGGTCATGCTAGCCAAAGCTTGCCACCAGCTCCACAGCCTGGACCTACAGCACTCCATGGTGAGCCCTGTGTCCCAAGAGGCCCTGAAGAAGCCCCAGGACAAAGTCATGTGCTCATTTATGCTGGGTCCCTAGGTGGAGTCAACAGCTGTGGTGAGCTTCTTGGTGGAGGCTGGATCCCGAATGCGCAAGCTGTGGCTCACCTACAGCTCCCACACAACAGCCATCCTGAGTGCTCTGCTGGTAGGTTGGTGATGGGTAGGAGCAGAGGCAGACGCTGAGCTAAGGACAACCAGGCCACTGACCCCATGACTCTCCCATCTCTGCAGGGCAGCTGCTGCCCCCAGCTCCAGGTCCTGGAGGTGAGCACCGGCATCAACCGCAATAGTACTCCTCTCCAGCTGCCTGTTGAGGCTCTGCAGAAAGGCTGCCCCCAGCTGCAGGTACCTGAAGCCCCACCTATCCCACCTGTCTTCTCCTGCCCCATCTGCAGCCTGGGCCTCGCCCCCAGGTGCTGCGGCTGCTGAATCTGATGTGGCTGCCTAAGCCTCCTGGGCGAGGGGTGGCTCCCGGCCCAGGCTTCCCCAGCCTGGAGGAGCTCTGCCTTGCCAGCTCCACCTGCAATTTTGTGAGCAACGAGGTCCTGGGCCGCCTACTCCATGGCTCCCCCAACCTGCGCCTGCTGGATCTTCGTGGCTGTGCCCGTATCACACCTGCTGGCCTGCGTGATCTGCCATGTCGGGGTCAGCTGTCCCTGGGTGGTGGCTGGGCAGGTGAGAAATGGGGACCCTCGCCTACTTTGCTGCTCATGCCCACTCCTCTCCTCTCCTCTCCCCTCAGAGCTGGAGCAGCTTCACCTGGGCCTGTATGGCATGTCAGATCGGCTGACTTTAGCCAAGGAGGGCAGTCCCCTGTTGACCCAGAAGTGGTACCATACCCTGCGGGAACTGGACTTGAGTGGCCAGGGATTCAGCGAGAAGGACCTGGAGCAGGCCCTAGCTGCCTTCTCAGGCACTCCTGGGGGCTCACACCCAGTCTTGTGCTCCCTTAACCTCAGGGGTACCAGAGTCACACCAAGCACAGTCAGGTCAGCACCCTCTCTCCCAGTTCCTTGGAGTCAGTCTGCTTGCTTTCCTGTCTACTTGGGGCCCAGAAGTAGAGTCCTGCCTGGCTTGATACCTCCAGAAGTCTAAGGGGGGGGTGTGCATATTGACCAAGGCCCTGCTTGGGGTCAGCCTCGGTAATGCCAAGAGAATTGGGTTTGGCCTTCGTGGTTGTGGGTGGCAGAGCCAGGTATGCAGCACAAACAGGTAGGGTCCCCTTCTGGGGCCTGGGTCTTCTGGGCAGCAGCTCAATCCCCGTGGCTTATCCTGCCCACAGCTCTGTGATTAGCAGCTGCCTGGGCCTGGTATACCTCAATCTGGAGTCCTGCCGCTGCCTTCCCCGGGGCCTGAAGCGGGCCTATCGGGGCCTGAAGGAAGTTCAGTGGTGTCTGGAGCAGCTGCTCACCAGCCCCTCCCCCAACTAGGCTGCTACAGACCCTGGGAACCTCAGCCAGCCTGCCCTACCCTGTACCTTTGAGCATTTTGTTACAATAAAACATTTTTTAGGAACTCTGTGTGGTCCTTGGGGTAGAGTTGAGGAACAGGGATTAAACCTCATAGAACCGCTGGGAGCTGCATCTGGCCCAGCCTGTGTGTGGTGGGAGTGAAGGTGGCCCTTTTGGCTCTTGAGCCTGCCTATGGTGGTACCTTTACCTGTTCACCGCTGGGCTCCAGTCTTGGACTAAAAATGTACCTGTGTCTTGCCCTCAGAGACACTGGTGAGCTGTCAATGGTGGTTTGTAAGGCAGAGGTGGCAGTGGAGAGATGGGGTTCTGCTCAGCTTTGGGCTCAATGAAGGGTGCCTATCAGTAGATTTCTCTCCAACTTAGGCCTGAGGTGTCCAGTCATCCACCCTTCAGATGAGGGCTATGAACTGGGCTGTACAAGGGTTCTCCAATGGGGTAGAGACTGGCCAGGAAGTCCACAACCACTATGGGGCCTGACCCTTGAACTCCCTGGAAGGGTGGTCAACAGAAGCGGCCCCTTCTAGAACCTGCCGCCCAGAACTTCTAGAACCCACACGCGGTCCAGCCTGGATGGCTACCTGGCCTCACTGCCCCACCGTTACTGGTGAGCTCCTGCTCCTTCCTGAACCGCAGCCCTGGAGGCTTCCCATTCCCAGGTAGGAGCTCAACTGTGGGCAGTGTGTGGTGGCAGCAGGTTAGCCACCAAGCTGACCGCTTCTGCCTAACCCAGATCCTCAAGGGCCAGGCCAGGCATCTTCCCACGGCCTCAGGCTACAAGTACTTCGGGCTCTGGGCCCTAGGACTCTTCTGCACAGAGCGCCATCTGGCCCGGCGCCTTAAGAACAATAGCTTCTACCCTTTCACACAGACGCTGCCGAATGGTATGCATGGGGTGGGGCCAGAGTCTGGGGAGGAAGGAACCAGGACAGAGGCCTGAATGGGGTGGGGCCAGGTGGGCAAGGCCAAAGCCTGGGCGGTGCACTTGGGGGCGCAGACACTGCGGGCGAGCCACGCTTGCTCGCCCTCCATTGCCTGCGGGCGGGCTCATCAAAGCCCTGGCACCGCTACCCCTGGCTTCGGGCTGGGGCCAGATGCCCTCAAGCGCTGCCGCTGCACTGCCCCCAGTCTTCGTGCTCGAGTACTACCTGGACACGTTGTGGAAAGGGATGCTGCTCTTCGTCGTCTGCATAGTTCTGGTCAGCTTCGGCTCCCTGAGAGAGGTGTGAGCTCCCGTGCTAGATCTCCACGGCCTTTCTCTCCTGGGGTCTTGGCGTTCTGCCCCATAAACCCCGCAGCGCCGTGCCTCTCAGATGATCCCCACGATGCCTGCAGGTACAGAAGCAGAAGACTTGGGGCTTTCCCGCGTATGGCGTGGGCGTGAGCCTGTGGCTCATAATCTCTTCGCTGCCGCGGCGCCGCCTAGTGCTGAATCACATAAGCGGCTTGTACCACTTCTCCATCCAGGGCCGCACCGTTTGTCAGGGCCCCATGCACTTGGTCTACGTGCGCCTGGCTCTCACTTCCGATGGTGATGTCTGGGATGGGCGGACTGGGAGAGGGTGGAAAAGGGAGAGGGAAGCTGCTTAGGAGTGGGAGGGACGGACTGGCCAACCCGCTGCCCTCCTCCCTGGAGGTCCCCTGCCCCCAGAGGCACTTGCCCCCCATCCCTATCCCCTAAGGCCCTCACCTTCCAGAGGTCTATACCTGAGTCTGCCTCCCCTTGATAGCCTACAGAAGGTGCTTCTTCCAGCTGGTCCTTGGTGGCTACAAATTGGAGCCACTGGTACTGGTGCAGTTGTCGGAGCATTATGAGGTGGGTCCTGCCCAAACAAGAGTCCCCTCCTCGGGACACAGTAACACCAATTTTTGTTAGGGCCATTTCACAGGCAGGGCCATTTCACAGGCAGGGTGTAAATACAACGCTGTCTTCCACGCTTGGGCTGTGGGCAGGGATAGGGATGAGGCTTAGTAAGGGAAGGGAATGCCCCAGCAGAGCCTATCCTCTCCAGGCTAGAGCTGACCACCACTTGCTCCCACAGCAAATGGAATACCTGGGCCGTCACATTGCCCGGAAACTTAACATCAACTACTTCGACTACCTGACCATGTCCTACCGGCATGTGGTCCGCCACTGGCCCCTGAGGACAGTCAATAGCCCGAACATTGTGGTACGCAAGAAGAACATGTACAAGCCAAGCCTCTTTCAGTCCCACACAGAGGAGTGACTCTGAGAGCCTGCACTACCTGTCCTCAAGACTGTGTTCTCCCTTCCCATCCCCACCCTGGGGGCAGGCTCCACCCACTCACCTTCTCAATAAAACTTCCTCAGCCTCTAGACGGGTGGTTTACTGGGGAACAATTTCCCATTCCAGGACCTTCCATTTGTGCACACCTCCCACCACCTTAGAGAGCCTGCTCCTCCAGCTGACTGAAGCAAAACCCCAGAGCTCGAGTTTGAAGACGGGGATACTAAGAGGTTGGACCCAGGACTGGAAGACTCAGAATTTGCTGTCCCTCTTGGCCAGCAGCACTTAACTGGTCCTACCTGACCTAGAGGGCTGACCAATTTGTGAATCCAGGAATTGGAACCTGATTGGTCCAGTGTGGGTCAGGTTCCTATTCCTAGTCCAACCAGCAACGCCCTGGGGAGGATAGAGCCAGAGAATAAGCCCTATGCCTGGGGATATATCCTAGACTAGATAACCCCAAAGTTGTTGCCACATACCTCCTAGGGGATAGGCTGCAAGAGTCCTAGGCTAGGGCTCAAATCCTCTTGGTGGGATAGATCTGTGTTGTCCATGGTGCTTATTCTACATGCCTGCTGGAACCAAAGACCCATGTTCTCTTGTTTCCAGCATCTAAACCTCTTGGGTGCTGGGGGCTGCCATAGGAGCAAAGAAGACCATGGGCCATGGGGTCCCAGGAGGAGCAGCATCTAGCAATGTCTGCTTGGCTCTCCCGGGTCTTTGGGCATTGTGTCAGCTGGGTTTCCCTGGAACCAGAAGCAGCTACATAATTTGTAAGGCTCCATGCCAAATGAATATTCAGATGAAAACTCAAATGAAAAAGTTAAGAAGCAGGATGCTGGGGCTCCTGCCTGTGGTCCCAGCTGCTTGGGAGACTGAGGCCGGAGAATCCTTTGAAGCCAGCAGTTTGAGACCAGCCTGGGCAACACAGCAAGACCCCATCTCTACAATAAAAATTTTTTTTAATGTTAAGAATGTCAAGGCCGGGCTCAGCGGCTCAGCCTGTAATTCTAGCACTTTGGGAGGCTGAGGCAAGTGGATTGCCTGAGCCCACGGGTTTGAGACGCATCCGGGCAACTTGGCGAGACCTCATCTCTACAATAAATAAATAAAAAATTAGCCGGGCGTGATAGTGTGTGCCTGTAGTTCTGGCTACTTGGAAGGCTGAGGCAGCAGGATCATGGGAGCCCAGCAGGTCAAGGGAGTGGTGGCCAGGAGCGTGCCACTGTACTCCAGTCTGGGCGTGAGACTCCAACTCAAAAAAAAAAAAGAATTTTAAGACAGTGACACCAGAGCATTACACCAAGCATGGGGCCCTTTAGATCCTGGGACCCTATGTGACTACCCAGGTCACATACTCATGAAGCCAACCCCACCTGGAATTATGGCTCAGGATCACTGGTCAACCAATCCCAAGGCTAGTCAAACCCAGTGGGCATATGGGCACCCTCGCCCATTTCTGGGGCAGAGTCCGGGGTTGCTGGAGTTGCTTTAGGTAGTCCCTGCAGGCCACTGTTAATAATGACACAAGTATGAGAACCCTCTCCCCTTAGAAGACAGGGCCCAGGGTGTCCCAGAGTGGTAGTACCCAACTCAGCAGGGTTCGAATTGGGGACTAAGCTTCACTCACGCAGGTAAAACCCCTGCTTTCCTGGAGCTGACCATTTAAAGGGACACAGAATAAAGGGTTTACTACCCAGAGTGGTTAGAGGAGGGTCCCTCTATCTGGGAGCTCAGGAAAGGCCTGTCCAGGGAGCGGCTTTTGAGCTGCTACAAACTTAGGGAGAGAGCATTCTGGGCAGAGGAGACAAGAAGCACAAAGGCATGATACAGGACTGAGCTAGATGTGCTTGAGAAACTGCAAGAAGATTGGCTGATCAGAGTGGAGAGGGCAAGGGGAAGGAAGCCAGAGATGAGATGGGAAGGGCAGGCAGGTCCTCGGAGCATGGCTCAGAGTTTTTAGTCCTTCTTACAATGGGATACCACTGGAGAGTCATGAGCAGAGATACATCGATCCAGAACTGGAGTGTGGAAAGGGTCAGGAGCTTGCAGGGATAAGTGGGACCAGGCAGGGCATAGGGGAACAGAGGATTATGGGTCCGTGGCAGGTCTGAGCTACTGCTGGAAGGCACAGTTTACAGGATTTGCTGATGGGCTGAAGTGGGCTGAAAACAAGAGTAATTCAGGGCCAGTCTGGATTTCTGGCCAGGAAATTGGAGCTGTAGCCACAGGGCGGAGGGCTTGGGAATTGGGAGTTCTAAGTTAGACTAGGCCTGAGAAGCTTATAGGTCATTGAAAAGACACAAAGGCCCTAAAGAGGAAGGTGGAAGCACAGACCCGAAGCCATTATCCTCTGGGAGGTCCCTAAAGCCAAAGCCTTGGATGAGATATCCCTGGCAATACAGAAGATACAGAAAAACAAGAGGAGGGTGGAGCCTAGCATGGGATGCACAGAGGTAGCAGAAAGGCTACAAAAGGAGGGGGACCAGAAAACCAGGGGAGGGAGCGGGCCCTGTAATCCCAGCACTTTGGGAGGCCAAGGTGGGTGGTACACACCTGTAGTCCCAGCTACTAGAGAGACTGAGGCAGAAGGATGCCTGAACCCAGGTCAAGGCTGCAGTGAGCTGTGATTATGCCACTGCACTCCAGCCTGGGCTACAGAATGAGACTCCAACACAAAAAATATATATAAAAAATAAAAAAGAGCCGGGCTCGGTGGCTCAGCCTGTAATCCCGCGCCTTTGGGAGGCTGAGGTGAGTGGATTGCCTGAGCCCGCGGGTTCGAGACCCGCCTGGGCCGTGAGACCTCATCTCTACAATAAATAAAAAAAAAACCCAGCCTGGTGTGGTAGTGCGCACCTGTAATTCCGGCTACTTGGAAGACCGAGGCGGAAGTATTGCCGGAGCCCAGCAGCTCGAGGCTGCGGTGCCCGGAAGTGGCCACTGCACTCGTCTGGGTGACAGAGTGAGACTCCGACTCAAAAAAAAAAAAAAGATATTAGCACTAGGGGAAAATGGGGGGGGGGGGTGAAGTCTCTGAATTATCATTGCAACTTTTTTTCTTTTTTTTCCCAAGTTGGAATCTCACTCTGTCGCCCAGTCTGAAGTGCAGTGACATGCTCATGGCCACTGCAACCTCAACCTGCTGGACTCAGGTGATCCTTCTGCCTCAGTCTTCCAAGTAGCTGGAATTACAGGAATTATTGTAGAGATGAAGACTCGCCAAGTTGCCCAGTCTTGTCTTGAACTCATTGGGCTCAGGCAGTCCTCTCACCTTGGCCTCCCAAAGTGCTGGGATTATAGGTGTGAGCCACTGCATCCAGCTCATTGCAACTTTTTAGTTGTTAGATATTTATTTCTGATGAAGAGTCTCACTCTCTTGCCCAGGCTGGAGTGCAGTTGCACACACATGGCTACTGCCGCCTTGACTTGCTGGGATCAAGTGATACTTCTGCCTCAGCCTTCCAAGTACTTTGAACTACAGGCACACACCACTCCTACCAGCTCATTTTTTTATTTATTGTAGAGATGAGGTCTTGCCAGTTGCCTAGGTTGGTCTCAAATCCCTGGGTTCAGGCAATACTCTGGTCTGTTTTCCAAAGTGCTGAAATTACAGGCCATTGCACCCAGCATTATTTATTTATTTTTGAGTCAGGATCTCTCTGTCGCTCAGGCTGGAGTGCAGTGGCACAAACATGGCTCATTGCAACCTCAACCTCCTGGGCTCAGGTGATCCTTCAGCCTCGGCCTCTTGAGTAGCTAGAACCAATTTTTTTTTTTGCTATTTTATACAGATGTGGTCTTGCTATGTTGCCCAGGTGGTCTTGAACTCCTGGCCTCAGGCAATTCTCTCACCTCTGCCTCCCAAAGTGCTGGGATTACATGCATGAGCCACTGTACCCACTCACAACTTTTTTGTTTTATAAATCTAAATTTATTCTAAAGTAAAAATGTAATTTTTTTTTTGAGTTGGAGTCTCACTCTGTCGCCCACACTGGAGTGCAGTGGCCACTCCCGGCCACCACAGCCTCAACCTGCTGGGCTCCGGCGATC